TCCTTCCTCTCTTTCTTTATCTTTCTTTTCATTTTTATGCCTTTGTCTCATTTTTTTAAACATTTTTTAAAAAAATTGATTTTTAGAAAAAGAGGAAGGGCGAGGGAGAGAGAGAAACACCAGTGATGAGAGAGTCATTGATCGGCTGCCTCCTGCACAGGCCCCCATGGACCCCACTGGGGATCCAGCCCGCAACCCGGGCATGTGCCCTGACCGGGAATCAAACCTCGATCTCCTGGATCCTAGGCCGATGCTCAAGTGCTGAGCCTGCCGGCCGGGCTCCCAGAGGATATTTTCTTCAGCTTTGCAGAACACACACAGCAGACGGTGAAGGGTGGCGATAAGGCCTTCCCTAAACACGATATTGCCCTGACAGGATAGGGGAAACGTTGGCACATTCATGCCTTTATTCATGTCAGAGTGAGCTCTGCATCAGGTTTCTGTTCCTGTCCTCTCTGATCCTCTGGAAAAGGCCAGAGCCACTTCCTGTCCTGGGCCACAGGCCTGTGGCCCTGATTTAAAACCTCATATGTAGTTTATTTCCCATTTAACCTTGAGAACAGGGAAATGACTTTGCCAGTGTTCTACACAGGTCTCTGTGGCATCTCCCTGCTTAAGGGGCTTTGGGGTGGTCCTGCTGATCAGCAGAGGCCCCTGAACTGGGACTGATTGAGCTTCAAACAAGAAAAAGTGTTAAAGAAAACGGGTGAGGGGACTCCAGGCACTGTGACCCTATGTCTTTAAACTGTTTATCTTTAGGATCTGGTGCCTCTGTTCCAGAGGGAAAATGCGCATAAAACATGTAACAAGCAGCTTAGCGATTTTTTTGTCTCTAGAAAGCTGCGTTAGGAGGGCCTGCAGCATTGACGTACAGGATCCGGAAGGTGACAGGGAGGACCTGGCACTATGGGAACCAGTCGCCCACCCAGGCACTAGCCTCTTCCCTCCCCTTCTCCTCCAGGCCTGCAGGTGGTACTCACCTTGAAGCGGTCACCTCCCAGGCCGGCAAGGTCACTGCTCTGGCTCAGCCTAGCCGGCGTTTCTGAAGGATCTTCTCCACACTAGGGGGAGCCATCTGCTCACATTGTAAACAGCCTGTGGCCTTGGAATGCATTTCTTTCTAGAGCTTTCTCCGTTCAAACCTCCGAGTTCTGCTCACATAAGCCAGTAAGAATCAGAGTATTGTACGATTGACAAAATGCCCTCTGAGAGATGCTCCAGTCCAGGCTCCTTGCGTTTCAGGGCCCACCCAGGTAGAGGTTCTTGTTCCTGTCACCCCCCACCCCCCTTGTAACATTTTCAGCTGCACACTGGCCCCATCAGCCCCCACCCCTTGCAGCAGCCCAGGTTTGGGTCTTCAGGACCGCAGTTTGGCATTTGCCTCCACAGGCTCCATGAAAAAAGGCTCCTGGGTTGTAGCAGACCTCAGATTTCCATACCCAAGTCCCTCTTTCTGGGTTTGGGACAGTTCAGGGGAAAGTTATGCCATTGAATGGGCGCCCTGTTCTGGGAGATGGTGGTGACGGAAGGAGCGGAGGAGGCTAAGTACAGTGCATTCTGTGCTTGTTGATTAGATACCAGTGTGGACTGTAAACTGGGAACAGCACGGGGTGTGATGGGTGCAGGGCAGCTCCTATGTGTTGGCTTCTATTTGGTGGCCCTGGGGCCTGGGGGCCTCTCTGGCCGGGGTTGGGTCAGTGTCCGCCTTCCCTGCACAGAGGAGCCAGGCTCCACGGCCCCACAGCCTGGGTTGGGTCCCAGCCCTGTCGCTCACCAGCTGTGTGGCTTGGGTGAGTCCCCTAACCTCTGTGCCTCAGTTTCCTCACTGAGAACGGAGCTCAGGACAGTACAGGTCATGTGAGTTAGCACCTGCAGGGCGTTTAGCTGGGTGCTGGCGCCATCCTCAGGGTGAACTTGGGCTGTTTCTCACCCACTCGAGATGGAGGATCCCTCCACATGCAGAGGCAAGAGGAGCCCAGCCTGGGCCATTCTTCCAGG